CAAAATTGAAGGGACAAATATCTTATTTTTACTATTCAAATTTGAAATAAATGGAAGAAAAAAAAAGCATAAGAGATTAATTTTCATGTAATGTGAGTGTAAAAAGTTTTGAGAATGTATTTTTACACCTAGTAGTGGTGAAAATCACTACTGAAAACCCGAAAATACCCTTCGAAAATGCACATCCGAACGCACCTATCAGCATGTTTCGGATGTGCATCTCCGAAGATAAATTTTTTCCATGTTTTAATACTTAAATGTTGGATTTGAAATTTTTGAGGTAGTTTCAGATATGCACATCCGAAACATACTGATAGGTGAGTTCATATATGCATATCTGATACCCCTATTTCCTTATTAGAGTACTTCATGGTCACCTATTATAACTATTTCATTCATTTTCTATTCCCCCATAACCAAAACCCTCATAAACCTTCAATCATTTTCAATAGAATTTTCGTCTCCAAATCAAGTTTCAAGTGTTTGAGTATAGCAAAGAGAGCATAGAAAGCTACAATTTAAGCTAAACTTCCATTATTTCATCATACATTTCCTGCATTGAATCTGATTTGTTAAAGAAGAAAACAACATCACTTCGAATATGCACTTTCGAATTCAACCTACCATAATTCGGATATGCATATCTAAAAAAATGTCTGTTACAAAACCAGAATTTTGTTTTAACAGAATTCGTGTTTTTTAACATGTAAGGTATGGTGCACCCTGATAATATTTCCAAAGCTCTCGTAAAGGTTTCGCACAAGGTCAATGAAGATGATAAGTCGATTGAGGTAAAGGACGTTGATAAAACAAATGATTTTGTGATAGATTATGGACACCAATTTCAAAATCATAAAAGTTTCACCTCTCGTCAACATATGCTTGAATGGATTCGGATAGAAGTTAGCAAAATTAGGTTTGGCATTGTGATTGAAAGGTCCGACAATGGGACTAGTCAAAGGCAACCATTTGTTGTGATGACATGCGAGAGAAGTGGGAAATATGTTCCAAAAATTCGAAAGATAAAACATGATGACACGAGATCGACGAAATGTGAGTGTCTGTTTAAATTGCACGGTTATTGTAGGGTGTATGGTTTATAGAGGTATAATGTCATGTCCGCTATGCATAATTATTAGACACCAAACTATACGGGCACCCAATTGTATGCCGACTTAAGATGGTAGAGAATGAACTTATTTCTAAATTATCGTTGATCAAGGTTGCGCCAACAAACATACTTGCCTGTTTGAAACGGAATAAATTGGAATGTGTTTCAAATATCAAGTCGGTCTACAATCATCATTATAAATAACACATTGCATAAAGAGGTCTGAGGTCTGAAATGAAACATTTATTGAAATATTTGGACGATAACCACTATGTTTCTAGGTACAAAGTTTATGAGTACAACATCAGTATTCGTAACATTTTTTAAACTTATCCAAAATGTATAAATTTTTTCAATACATTTCCAACCGTCCTTATGATTGATTCGACGTACAAGACCAACAAGTACAAACTTTCGCTTCTAGAAATTGTCGGTGTCACCACTACGGACAAGACATTTTCGGTTGGATTTGTTTTTTTTGGAATGTGAGAAAGAAGACAACGTCACTTGGGGGTTGGGTATATGCAAGACTTTGTTGAAGGATCCACAAAATATGCCTAAGGTCATTGTTGCTGACCGAGATAATGCCCTTATGAATGCGGTTGGCAATGTGTTTCCTTCGTCAACTGTATTAGTTTATTGATATCATATAAAAAAAGTGAGAGCCCGGTTCAAACCCGCAGTTGGAACCAGAGAAAAAAAGGGTGAAGACGGAAACATGACCAAATCTGGTGTTGTGGTTAAAAAGATAATGGGTGCATGGACTGATATTCTTAATTCTACTACTGAAGAGTTGTATACTGAGAATGTGGTACACTTCAGAAACTTTTGTGTCGAATATTCCAATTTCTTGAAATACGTTGAGTCTACTATCCTTGATCATGTGAAAGAGAAAGTTGTTTGTGCTTGGACGGACCGAGTTAGACATTTGGGTAACACAACAACCAATAGAGTGGAATTTGCACATGCCGCATTAAAGAAGTGGTTGGGTGATAGAAAGGGTGACCTTATAGAGAATGGGACACGGTGAACCAAATGTTCCAAAACTAACATAATGAAATTCAAACAACCTTCGATAGGAGAAAAACTGTATTAGAACGATTAAAAGGAAACACTTTATATGTACAGTTGGTTCACAATATATCCTGGTCGAGATTGGATTTCATCTATCATGAAGAAAAGCGGTCAGAAACGACGGGGCCAGATAGTTTTAAGTGTGGGTGTATAGTTAGAATGAATTACAGGTTTCCACGTGCTTGTGTTATTTCTAAAAAAATTAAACTCAATTCCCCCATATGTATGAATGAGGTTTGCACTCATTGGAAAAGACTACGATTTGATGACTACGAGCCGACAAAGGAAGGTACGTCCAACATAACCATCACAGCTGAGTTGGAAGTGATAATAGATAGATTTTCTAAAGATGATGATTCTATGAAATTGCACATCAAAGAACTTTTGAGGAAAATCGCCTTTCCAGAAACCACTGATTTGAAATCTCCATTGGTAAAAACCAAAGGTGCACCAAAAAGGCAAAAAGTACAGAGGGTGACAATTCAACAAAGCGGACTCCTTCTTACCATGAAATTGTTGATTCAATATTCCTGGATTCTCCAACCCTAAAACCCAAAACAAGTGTTAACAAGAGAGCTCACATTTCTAAACCACCTCGTACACTGCCTATTGAAAAACAACCACAACCACCACTGATTATCTACATTGACGAGATGTCTCTTTTTATGCATAAACACATTGAAGGAATCGTGGATGTGGGGAGTGATGGTAATTGCGGGTATCGGGCCGTTCCCGGGTTACTTGGTAAAGTAGAGGAGAATCACATTCTTGTGCGCCAAACACTTATTTCGGAGTTGACGATGCATAGGGATCTCTACACTCGCCTATATGTGACTACACAAAAATTTAATAAAGTTCACCATGCTCTTGCTCCAAGTGTTAGCGTTTGCGCACCAGTTGAAAATTTGATGAGCTTCCTTGAAATGAGTCATCTTATAGCAAATGCATATGATATGGTGTGTATCGACTTGACGAGGTATAATTTTTCGAAGAAAAAAATTTCCACTTCGGGCTCCCCCGCCTAAAGATCCATCCAGCCGCATCATGTGTATTGGGTATCTTAGATCATGCTATTTTGTTCAGGTTTATTTGAAACTGGGATGTCCTATACCGGCTACATTCGTGGAAAGGACTGCACATCATGTAAAAGTGACGGAAACTTGACCGAATCAGTTTTTGGATAGGATGGTAGAGTTCACCAATTTGATGGAGCTTGAGAGAGAATCAAATAGGGAGAAGTCGAAGAAAGAATCGATTTTAGATTTAAGCGATGACAATTCATTCGGTGCATTTTAGAATGTAATCGAACCATTATTTTGAATGTAATATCGTACACATTGTAAAATCTATATGTTTCAATACATATAACATATTATCTATATTTAGTTTTACAATTTTTTATTTTTTAATGTCACTTTGGTACAAATAATGATGATGTTTCTGGCTCTGCATAATTCGAAAGTGCACTTCTAAATTAACCTTCAATTAAAAAAAGACAACACATGGCTTATTTTGGATATGAACTTTCGAATTCACCTCCTACTTTTATTAAAAATTGTGGTATTTTCGGATGTGCATATCTGAAAACCCCTTATTTTGATAAAAATGAGGTGAATTCGGATGTTCTTATCTGAAATATGTCCTAATAAGATTTCTTTGGTCCAAATTTCTCTAAAAAGGCTATAAATTGGGTCTTCCATACCATTTCATTCTTCATCACATACCACAACTAGAAATGACACAAACATATCCACACCTTACTTTTGTCTACTTCAGTGGTGCGCAGTCGCCACTTCAATTCAGATTCTCGCAGGACACGTCGTTTGACGAGCTCATTATCATACTACATTCTCTCTTGCAGTATCTAGAGAATCGAAAGGTGGTCAGACTTGAGTGTCGTTCACCTTCAGTTAACATTGAAGGAGTGTAAAGCTCACTCTGTTTTAGCTCAAGAACGGCGACGATTTAGAGGTTATGTGAGGTACATTTCAACGATACTCTTCTAAGGGTCCGATTGAGATAGATGCGAAGCTTCAAAGATCGGCAGAAGATGTTATCAAGATGTTGCAATGTCCTCAATTGTCCGTTTATAACAATATGTAACTTTAATTTTCTGCAAAACTATTTATGTAATTTCTTTGAATTATGTTGAATGAATGTTATGAATTATGTTGAATAATATTGAATTTTCTGCCCATGAATAAATTTGGATATGCATATCCGAAATTGGCTAACAGATTAATTCAAATATGCATATCCGAAGTAAATTTAATAAAATCACATTAGTGATTTATTCGGATATACACTTCCAAATTCTAAGAATATTTTAGATTTTTCGCCAGAGATCTGAAAAATAGAAAGAAATTCTCAAAAGTTTTACATGTCCATCACAACTATTCATAATCAGTATTTTAAATATATTTTAAATAAAAATCAAGTGTAATTTAAAATTTGACTATTATTATTCACTATTCTTTATACTATATTCCAATTAAATTCCTAGCATAATTGATATTCTTAGGGAAGGAGTATAGCTTAAGGTCCTACTCGTTCATCATAATTACGTAGCAAACAAGAACTTAAAACATTCTTGATAGTGAGAGCAATGTTGCAATCAACCACCAAATACATGTAGAGGATAACACCCACTTGGTGCAAATTGCATGATTCACATATACGACAAACCAAACCATTCATGTCATCTCCAGAAGAATACATGTTTTAATTAATAGAGACAAAATATGATATCTGTTTCATAGCCACACAAGAAAATATAGAATTTATAGATGTCAAAAATAAAGTATTAATAAATAAATCAAGACACAAGCCACATGAAGTAAGTTGACCATAGAGTAACCGCAATTGATGCCAATGCATATGTCCACAACATTATCACAGAACATTCACTTTCACCAGCTCCAAATAATTGAGCTATAGTACCTGAATGACACACATAGCAAATAAATTAGCATGAACAATTACATAAGATTAAAACACTTTATACAAGTTAATTTATTTATTAATACTACCTATATTCATAGCTGGTGGAAGTGCATATTGAAGGAGAAGAATGAACTGATATAAAGGATCTACTTGCACCAAACCCAAATGTGTTGCCACTTTAACAATTACAACACCAAAAATTGGTAGCATAATATATCTCACTACTATAATTCCTATAATTGTCCAAAATGGAGTACTTGCTCCCTTCAATCCTTTAAGAAGGTTAGCACCCATTATAAGGGTTGTTGTTGGAATTGCAGCATCACTGCATGTAAATAATTAATAGCATATAATTAATGTAACTTTATGCAATAATTAATGTAACCTTATGTCATATATATATATATATATACCCTAACATGGAAGCAGAGTCTTCAATCACATGAAGTGGAGCATTGGTTCCAATCATTAAACTATGGAACTGAGGAACTACACCAATAGTAAATCCAACAATCTGCATAAACGAAATTTGAATCTTAATTTTTCATTTTCTTATGCATATGAATAAATTAATTAATAACATATGAAAAATGTATCATACCGCGCCAAGAGTTGCTGGTGAAAATATGCCTCGGAAATTTGGGTTGCCTAAAATCATTCCAAATTTATGCTTCATTTTATCTAAGATATGCACCTGCAATTGGATTTATAGTAATGCAGGAAATCAAACATAAGATTCAAAATATTTTATAAAAAGGAAAGTTGTAGCAACCTTCATTTTATGCTCGGATTCATTCTTGGAAAGCAATAGTCTGTATTCATCATCCACATTGCCTTTTGCTGAATATATATTTTCTGAGCATCCCTCTAGGAGAGATTCTGGTACATCCTCTGAATTCGCCAATGTGATAGAGTCACTACTTTTGTTACCTTCTTTCTGAACTTTACTCGACGAAATCCTCATTATGTTGTACACATAAGTCCATATAAAAATAGCTCCAATCTATAGTTTTCCCAAACATTAAATACAAATGAAAACCACTAGTTTAATTTTGATACAGAGTCGGTGTAAAAAGTGTCAAAAAATCACAATGTGTTACATACCGCCATTGAAAGTGAAGCATAAGCCATTCCATATTTATAGCAAACATCAGCATCTCCAAAAGGACTGCCTTTATCTTGACATATAGCTGGAATAATGATTATTGGCAAGTTTCCTAAATTTCCTGTTCATATATAAATCTTACAATAAGATCAATCAAAGTTGCGACCACAATTGTGACCACGACCGAGATAAGTGATTGATTACCTGCAGAACAAACACCTACTATGAGACCTTCAATGTTTTCGGGAGGCCTTGTGAGTTTAATAATTATCCAAAAATGTAACCAATATGTTCACCGGCATGAACCACCTAATAATCACAATAAATAAAAAAATGTCAAAACCATAATCAAGAAATCAAATCCTCAAATAAAAAATTAGCAGCAAAGTATATAATATAACCACTCACAACATAACAACATTCTCATAAGTGATTGTTTCTGCCAAATTACCACCAACCATAGCAGGATTAAACACATAATGTACAAGCTGAAACAGATGAATAATTGGTGTCAATATATAAATAGAAAAAATATATAACAAGAAAAAAAAGTTGTTAAGAATTTATACATGATTGGTTTGATTCCTTGCGTCTTTTCCCAGCAAATTGATGTGATCCAATGCAAGAAGTAAACCAATTGCAGTGAGTAGTAGTACTTTGATGACAGGGAAAGAAGCAACAGAAAATAGCTCCAGAAATCCCATTATCACAATGAATGAACTCTTCCAAAACTATATGCTAATTAATTTTTCCTACACAAATTAAAAATATATGTTTGTTCATAGTGAAATAGTAAAATAAAATCATGTATTTTATTTTATAGGACTATTAACATAAACATGAACCAAGTTAGTCTTCCTAATCAGATTAGGCACAGAGAAAACGAGGTGGAACTAAAAATAAAATAAAAAGTATGAATAATTATGCAACTAAAATGAGTTAAATTGAAAAAGGCAAATTAATTGGAGTGAATTAATATATATATTTATTTTAATTCTCACTATCATAATTTCATTGATGCTATTTTGGTGTGTTGAAATTGAGCATAGAACAATATTACGAACCGTATCCTGTGGGTTGTATGTTGCAGCTTCCTTAAACATCCGTGTGTTGTCTTGTTGCTTTTAATGATTGAAGTGAGGCTAGAAAATAAGCAGGGAAGGTGGCAACTGTTTTTAATCAAACATCTTATATTCGATTTAATTTTGAATATGCAGTAGTATTTTTTTATATATTTTGATCGAGAGAGAATTTTGAAGTCTATTGTAATCATCTTCATTGTATAAATGATGTTGGTTCATAAAAAAACACGTTTGAATAATTAAAAAATGGAACACATTTTTTATCATATTTAGATCAATATCTCACTTTTTTAATAATAATATTTTTTATATATATTTTTTCATATTTACGTCAATCATACAGATACCTGCAATTATTATTTTAATTATAATAAATTTTTATTTGTGTTTGACATACATAATAGTGTAATCACATTTAATCAATTAAAAGTGACAAATATTTTTTCTCATATTTAAATAGGTAGTTCACTTTTACCTTTTTATACTTTTTCTCATATTTAACTTGATTTATCTTGTTTCTCATCTTATTAACATTCTCTATCCCTCTAATCTTTTTCGTGTAAATTTGTATCCCTTCATTTTTTCATTAAAATATTTAATTCTCCTGCATGATATTCTTATGAGAGTACGAAATACTCAGAGGTCTTAGTAGATATATAAAATTTTTGAATGGCTAAGACTTATCTACGAAAGCGAGAAGTCATGTACAGTGGTTTTAGAGGACCTGCTCATGTAATGTGAGAGGCTCTGTGTATAAGCGTTATGCATAAGTTAAGATCTCCTCTTCTCGTGTTAGGGGAGAAGTATATATAGAGCCCTCTTGAGCCTACTTCAAAGTAGTAACTGCTCCCTTATGACTATGGTTTTTAATGAAACTCATGACGATATTCTTGGAAAAACCAATCTAGCCTCTTTTACTTATACACGTCTTCTAGGTGTAAGGACTTTTTCACTTGTCATGGCAATTATCCCATTGGGTTTATATATGGCTAGCGCTATTAGGTTTCCTTAGGAAACTGATGTATTGTCTCGAAAAAAAATCCTTTTTCTCTTCCTCTTTTCTACTTCCACCTTTCTAGAAAAATATATAGGCCTATGATAATTGTGGGTAAGGTGAGAAATATTGTCTTGTTCCTAGGGTAGAAACATTGTAATTCCTGCTTTTCCACCCAAAATAACAATGGGTAAGAAAACCAAACTTATTCACGCTCGAGATATTGTGTCCTTGTACTCCAACGGTGACATGATCAGCAAGTTTCACACTGACATTTGGTTTTCCAATATAGAACATGAGGATGATGTGATATTATAGCCTTGTTTAGAGAAGGAGAGGGCCAACATGGATACCTCCGACGAGCCATCTACTCCTTACTTTTACCTCCACCTACCTGTTACTTATGAGTTGAGAGTTTTAGTCCCCTTTACTTCTTTTGAGATAGATTTTCTAACGACTAGCAACGTCTCCCCTTCTCAGATTACCCCTAATATATGGAGTATGCTTAGGAATTTTTAGATAGTCAGTTCTATCTTGGGTGTGTCCCCTGCTGTGAGGGTGTTCCTTTCCTTCTTTAGTACAAAAGTTCTTCCCAACAACGGTTGGGTAACCTTGCACCCTTTGCCAGGAGGATGTTTGTTGAAGCCCTTCGTGAACCCTTATGAGGATTGGAAGGATAAGTTTGTGAGAGTGAGAGTGTAAGGAGATGCCTCTCCGGTGACTACAAGAGCAATAAGAGACCCTTTTTTTCCTCCATAATGGATGTTGGGTCCTCTTATTATCAAAGGTATGAACCCATGCGTTTTTCCCCTTGACCAAGAAGTGATCTAGACTTTGAAATGTCTCTAGATTCTGGATTCTCACACCCTTATTACCCAAGACCGTGAAGACATTAATGGGGTAGAGGAGCATTTAGGTATGCACTACGGTATGAAATAATACCTTTTGATATGATCTCATGCTTATTACTTTTTATGTGCTAACAAAATTCTCTTCTCTACAGAGGATATGGTGGAGACCTCTCTTGATGAGAGAAGAGAGTTTTTGGTTTGGATGCAGGTTACACGGCAGCAAACGGGTTTCCCTCGCCTCTCCCCTAGAGTATGGCTCTTAATGAAGGGGTAAGGTAGTGTGAAACCTATTGGCTCAGTAAGGATCTCCCTCCCAAGTTTCCACGGCGGGAAGAAGGTCTTTATGGGCAACCAGGAAGTCGCGAGATTGTAGAAGAGGGCGAGAAACTAGGTGGTAAATATGTCCCTCTCTAACTTTCTTTATGGAATAATCCTACCTTTAACGTGGTGGAGTTCTCTGATCTATACTTCTCCTTCTCGAAGAACTTTCCTTATGATTATCATTCACTCACTTGCATGCCTTTCGTTAGATTATCTGACCTACTAGAGGTCCAACTCTTTACGTGTCTTCTAGTGGGGAAATCTCAAATGGAGAAACATTCTCACACCATCCGAGAACTACACTCTAAGATGAATTATGCTATTAGAAGTGCTCAAGAAGGAGAATGGCGGTAAGGGCGCTGAAAGAAAAACCTGATGTTTTGAAGGCACGCACCCAGGAAATAATTGTTGTGGCTCTCGCCCAGTTTGAAGAGGTGAGACTGCTCAATAACTTGCTTAATGAGATTTACATCACCAGGGAAAGTTTAGAGGAAAAAGTATTGTCACTCAAGGATGAAGTTGTGGCAATATCCACATAATATTTTGAAAAAACGAGAATACATACTACCTTCTTTTACCCCAATTTGGACTTGAGTTAGATGGATCCCTTTCAGGTGGTTCAGGATGGTGCACTAGTGGATAATGAGTACTTAGTCATGTTTTAATTTTCTTGTGATATACACTTTTTGTAATATTGAGCGACTCCCCGTTTATGTTTGTTAAATGTCATCGGTGTAACCCCCATCTTTATATTTGCATTCTAGGGTACAATGGGCTATGAGGTTTTCCCTAATCCTTTATCATGAATTTCAGTAGAGTTGTTCAATTTACGTCTACTCTGTTCAATTTGGGGTCATTTATGAAGATCTCATGTTTTGGTGGGCAAGGATCCCTCATAGGGATCTAAAACATTAGATGTCTCTAAGGGAAGTGTGGATTCGTCTTAGGGAACCCAACACTTTGGCTGCCTCTTAGGGTGGCAAGGATTCTACTTAGGAATCTAGTATTTTGATCGCCTCTTAGGGCGACAAAGATCCCACTTAGTAATCCAGCGTTTTAATTGTCACTTAGTGTAACACCCAAGGCCAAAGACAACGAAGACTGATTGTCAAATTCATATCAAAATGAGAGGGATCATGAGGTTGTGCAGGGATGGGACTGCATGATTGAAAGAAGGCTTATAAGGATTGAATGGTACTATTTATACCAACAAGATGCATCTTATTTTGAGTAGCCTTAACAAATAAGAACTCTATAGTTAAGCGTGTTTGATATTGAGTAGCATTTGGATGGGTGACCTTCTGGGAAGTTTCCCGAAAAGCGTGTGAGTTAGGATAAAACATGTTGAAAAGAAATGCATTGGTTTGTAGGGTCAATCTATAATTTGGAAATTATTTTGGGGTGTTACAAATGGTATCAGAGCCAGACCTCCCCCAGTATGATGTGGTTTAGAGATAAACCAAGCAGAAGGTGGTGGGCATGTAATACCTTAGGCCGAAGAGAGCGAGGAGTGTTCGCTTAATTCACATTGGAATAAGAGGCGTCCTGAGGCTGTGCAGAGATAGACTGTGTTTTACTCCAAAATTTTCCCTCCCATTCTTACACAAAACATACTCCTAGATATCCTCAATTTCTCAAGGATGCCCAAGAATTAACCAGACAAATTCTCTCCTAAGGCAATGAACCTTCAACTAGGGTTTCCACTTTCATCAATATATGTGAACTCCAAAGGTCTAAAATCTTTTCCATGGTCCTAATATGTTCTCAATACCATCCATGTTAAGTTTCATGCCTTGCACAAGAATTTTGCTCAGTCAACTGCTCAAATGCCTAAAAATCAACTATACTAGGTCAAAAGTCAATTGTGACCCTCATGCAGTCAAACTTCAAGATTTTTGGTCAACATCAACATTTTGAAGTAACATCCATCACTTGATCAAGGGTTGATCATGATTCCTCAAGGAATGCCCCAAATTCATCAAAACTCAAAAGTTGCTAAATTAGGGTTTCTATAGGAAAAGTCAACCAAACTTTGACCAGGCATAACTTTCTCATACTTTATCATAAATTTCCCATCCAAGGCTCGTTTTGAAAAGGACTCAATTACCTATAACTCATCTTCATCCCTCAAGTTCAAGAAATGCACTCGTGAAAAGATATAAATTTAGACATTATAGGTCCTTTTCAAAAGTCAATAAAAATACCTTTTGGGTCAAAGCTCCTTACATGAGCATGGAAGACCCAATTGAGATGAAACCAAAAGGGTTGTTTAGGGGAAATCTTAAGCTTTCTAAAAAGTCCAAGAACACCCTATTAGGGTTAAAATTGAGGGATATATGCATTGTCAAAGTTGACCATTTTTTGGAAAATTGCATAAAGCCAAAATTGACCAAATTTGAATTTTCTCCAAATGGGCCTATATTTTCAAGTTTGAATCTTGTTCCTAACGTGGTCCA